GCCCCTCAACATTTTTATTGCTTGTCCCTATACCCTACGAAGAATGGTCTTGGACTCAGTAATTTGTATGGAAGTACATCATGTTGAATAACCATATAACTTATTAATTTTAATTGATAAAAGTTAGTTTTATTAGTTTTTAATTATAATTATTATTATTAGGAACTAAATCCTATTTATAATTAAAGAAACTACGCCGCCGGTAGCTGTTGCTGGGAAGAAGCTGAGTTTCCTTGGCACACTTTCTCTGCAGCTGGTGTGACCGCTCCCTCTTGTTTAGTTTTAAGGTTGCAGTTTGCAACAATTTATTTTTGTCATAATTTAGATATATTGTTCTTTGGCCATTTTTGTCAACTCATCTCAATTTAAAGCGAAACTATTCCGCGCGTTTATTCTTTCTAAACTATATAAAAAACTGTTCAAAGATATATGCAATATATCCTAAAATTGATTATCTACAAGTTTTGTTACTATCATTATTTATTATAGTTAAAGATGATTAGTACTTGTTTTCTTATACCTTGTTTATTTAATGAATTTTTAGTAACAATGAACTCGACCAAAAATGTAAACAAGCATTGAACTGAAAAGAGTAAAAAAAATTATGGTCCGCTGTGCAGACCCCTTTTTATCAAATAATTAACATCCACCTTAAACATCGAAAATAGCTTTATCTCATCGTAGTCTACAACTATTTTATTTACGAAAATTCCTGGCATTGAGGCGTTTTCTCAATGTTAAAATCGACAAACTTTGTAATTATGTACTAAATACTCGTAAATAAACATTTGCTTTCTACTTGAATCGTAAGATAGTTTTAGCAGAAAATCGAGAGAAAAAAGGTGCCCTGTAAAAATATTGGGCCGTTTAGCCTATATAACCTCGTTATTTTGAATGTTCGGGAATGTACGGTCGCGCTAAACGGATCAATATTTTGAAAAAAAAAAAACAATACCTAATATAGACAGTCGTGAAAAGTAATGGAGAGTGACGGATTTAGACGAATAATGAGGTACCAATAGAAACCAGATATCACTTAGAGTGTGCGAATCGTAATTTTAATTCTATACCTAGACTTAAATAAAGTAAATTTAAAAGTGGGAGGTTTCAAATCATATGGTGGTGACGTCTCAAAGAGATGTTACAAATGAATTCATAATTTGCGAATTACTCGAAAAGTGCGTAATTTTCGGTCCATTATACATATGAGTATTGAAAGCTTAGCAAATTCCCTGCAAACGTAAAAAAAATCATCGAAATCAATTACAGTTGTGTCTGATAAAATATTTTCATTCCATAATTCTTCCTCCCCCCATTTTGATATACTTATTTTCTGTTTATATTCTTCAGGAGAGCTCTATTATATAATATTTATATTTAGCATATTTCTATAATAGCAGAAAAATGTTGAAATGAAACAATTTGTAGCGACCAAATGAACAAACTCCAATACGACTTTAGCTATCTACAAGAAATTTAGCAGGAATTTAGGACCACATAAACTACACAAATAGAAATAAAAACCTATGAGGAGTTTTTGTATATTTACTCCTTATGTAGGCATCAAATAAGGAAGTATTCATACTGCTTTGAAGAGCAATAATTCAGCTTTCCAACGGATATAGTAACATCGAATTTACTGAACACTTAGTATTTATTGTACTGCAAATATTTTTACTTTCACTTACGTATATATGTAATATATAGTAAGGGTAAGTATTACGATCGTGAAAATTTTCGAATCTCAGTTCTCAACGGAAATACATGTTTTGAGGTCCCCTGAGTTCAAATAACCAAGTGTCGCAAAATGGTCTGAGTGTCTGCGTGTGTTAACAGTCTACCTCATAAACGAAAAGTAGTACGAAACTGATATTAAGTATTTAAGGTTTGTATATGGGCCGGATGTGACAGCAACTTTTCCGTAAAAATCGGCTAACCGGAAGTGCTGAATAGTTCTTATATAGTTAATATAATATAGTTAATTCGTAACTGAATAGTTACGAATAAAATTAGATCTTTTTCGGAATTCGATTTCTTGATTTAAAATAGGCTACTTAGGAGTTATGGATTGTATACTCCTTCAGATAAAGTTGGTAAGTTAAGTTGGTAAGCATTGCAACTTGTGTTGGCTTGTCATCACTTATTAAGATAGCCGGGACATATGATCAATAAGAGGCAAGCAGCTCAGTGCGTTTATTCCATTGATTTCTAACTAAATCCAAGGGCATAGGAGGTTACAGAACTTCACAATATTGCGTTATAAAGTAATTATCTTCTTTTTTTAAATTTCAAATTTAGAATTTTTAAAGCTTTGCTCTCTGTTTCCTTTTAGAAGTCTCGACTCTCCCCTTCTCATGTTATAAGATTATAGTCCGTGGTACAGGTCGCTTTTTATCAATTTATTGTCATCCGGCTGAAACTTCGTAAATAGTTTCATCTCATCGTAACCTACAATTATTTTATTTACGGAAATTCTCAGAATTGGGACGTTTTCAATCTAGAGGTCGGCAAACTTTGTGTATTTAATTAGGTACTAAAAACTCGTAAATACCGATTTGTTTCCACTTCAATCGTAAGATAACTTGAACACCAAGTCGAGAAAAAAGGTAGCCTTCAAAAGTATTGAGCCGTTTGGCATGTCCTGCACCCCAAAATTTCCAAAATAACGAGGTTATATAGGCAAATAACTCAATACTTTTTGAAGGCCGCCATTTTTCTCAACTTTGTGCTCAAGATATCTTACGATTGAAGTAGAAAGCAAACGGGTATTTACGAGTTTTTAGTACCTAATTAAATAGATAAAGTTGGCCGACCTCTAGATTGAAAAACGCCCCAATTCCGAAAGTTTTCGCAAATAAAATATTTGTAGGTTACGATGAGATGAAGTTATTTTCGAAGTTTCAGCCGGATTTTAATAATTCGATAAAAAGGGTTCTGTATCACGGACTGTTAAGGATGCTTATACAAATTGAGTTAGTTTAGGCAAAATATTTTCGTAGTTTATCAAAATATTTTTTCTAGTATATATTAGCGTTTTTTTTTCAAGGTTTTATGTTCTTCTTACTGCGGTTATAGAATTAAAAAGTAGTATGAAAAATGGGTTTTACAAAAGTTTAAGAGGTCTAAACTTTCTTCTACGGCCGCCGCAGGTTTCGTGAATTATAGTTAATGTGCTAGTAATAGATACTATAATAGACAGTTTTCAACTCATGAAGATGTAATAAACTTTATACGCCCGTAAGAGAGTGCAAGTACGATAAGATTTAAAGTTAGAACACTTTTAAGATGCCTAGAACACATGAAGATTTGTGAATTAAGAACACAGTTAAAGCACTTAAAATATACCACTTAATGTTTAGTGGTATCACTCCAAAATAGCAGATTGATTCATTTTTTTAATGGAACAAGGCTGAATCCTTTGTTTCAGGGATGTTTACTTATCACTTTTCTTTAGGAGATAAGTTTAAAATTTTGATTCCTTCATCTGTACTTTGCCATTTCCTTGCTTAAAACTGTGAAGAATTTTTTTCCTCCTTCATAGGTACGACAGACGCACTAGGCGGCCCTTGCCCTGCTCAATTGCTCTAGCCCATTCCTGTCGGTTCGCAGCTAGTCTTAAATAAATGTTAAGCTTTCGAAAGTCTTCTACGACGTTGTCCTCCCATCTACTTCTTGGCCTCCCTCGAGCACGCACTCCTTATGAATAACCCTCGTATAATCTTATAATCGGTTCTCCCCTCATCCGTTCTATGAAGTTGGCTCAACTACTTCTGATACTGTATCTGTACTGTATACTGTAATTTATTCCCGTATATAAAATTAACGTATCAATAATATAAAATTTCACAGAAATTTTCAACATTAATGTGAGCAATAACTTTAGTTCTGACGGTGGATCTTTACAAATGGGTTCAATAGACAGCGAAATGTTCAAAAATAAAACATATGGCATTCAGCTGTTCAATTGATTTTAAAATTTTATTGAATTTTGTAAGCATTAATTTAAGCATCTATTTTCTTTATAAAATAGTTAAAAAAATACGATCTCATTGACGCGACTTGTGCTCTTTTGTTAACTTATTATTTATGGTACAGCTGTTATGATTATATAATATATATGGACAGATTTTTTTTAAAAATAATATGTTGGTCGAATAGTCTTAATTTGGGTATTAAAGAAAGGAATGAATACATTTTATTTTGCGTTTTAAAGGGTCGATGTTAGATACACTATTATGGATATTCGAAATTCTGTCGGAAAAAATCAAAATTCGGTGAGGATATTGATAGAGATAGCAGGAATAGTTTTGCGCGATAGAGATGGTTAGAGAAGGAGCGTAGAGAACTAGAGTGAGAGGGCTAGATAGATTCCAGGCGGTCTCTAGAGGGCCTTCACCTCTAGCCTAGCGGCCCCGGGCTTTGCCTCCTACCAGTCAAAAATTTTATTTTATTTTTAGATACAATAATATTATTTGTTTTAAATACAAAATATAATAACTAATTTGAAGAAAAAAAAGTTGAAAAATTAATTAAATCAGCCGTATTATTAAATGTATAATTAAGTATTAAAATTACAATTATTCTTATTTTGTAATTAAATTTCATAATTTACTTTATTTTCTTTGATAACATCTAATTAAATGGCTTACGGTTCATTTCGCTTTGAACATAAGGAAAACATATATAGTGCAGCGCATCACACAACTTTCACTTACTGACAACAACCCTACTTTCAGTTAAAATTTAATAAACCTTAATAATATTATTTCAATTATAAATCTGTGCCCCAAAAGTCTTTACCTTAAAAAGGTAAAGAACGCCATTTTTGTATTTATTCGGAACAGCCAATTTCCCCTAATTAAAAGAAATTTTTTTCTGTTTTTTTCTTAATCTCATTAATTACTGACACTAAAGAGATTTATTCATTTAGCTGTATAATCTGATTATTATATTTTTTTGTATTTTATTTATTATAAACATTTCTTTTTTTTTTATTACAGGTGAGTATTCGTGCCGAATCGAAGATGTTTCCCATCATTTCAATAAATGTAAGTTAATCATAGATAATTTTTGTTTTTATGCTTGTTGTGGTGTCCATACTAATACAGCTTAATAGTCTGCATGAGTTTAGATAATTTAATTAATTCACTCCTCTTGATGTTTTAGTTAAATTTTATTTTTTACCTTCATATATTATTATATTACAATTAATGTTTATAATATATAATTTAAGATATGTTCGTTACATAAAAAAATACTTTTATGGCGTATTTTTGTAAATACATTTTTTTTAATATTCCTTTTGAAAATATCTTAAGTTTGCACTACTTTTAATTCATTTCCGTATAACTTGGCAGCAATTTTCAGCAGAATATTAAGACAACCTAATATAAAGATAGTTTATTTCCAAAGTGAACCCAAAGCATCATTGACAAATTCTAATTACAATATCAAAACTATACTTTAAAAAATAATTGGGAAATTCTTTTTAAGCTGCACATATTTCCGAAAATCAATCTTTATTTTAATAATAATTGTAAAAAACGTTAAAACTCAAATAGAATTGCTTTTGGTACGAAATAAATTTCAAGGTCGATTGTGTAAAAAAAAAAATTGGTCAGGATTCGGTTTGGAGAGGAAAATGTGTAGTTTAGAGGGACAGGCAAGAAGTTAAAATCGTACTATAAAAAAATTTAATTTTTTGTGGATAAGAAATAGGATTTGCTGTCTATGTATGGATTATATAGTCCGTCTTTTCGACCCTAGAAAAATCATTAGGTCTAGAAATTGAAGAATTATACAGGAACATAAGAGATTGATTGAAATATATAAATAAGATAAGATAAACATATTAATACGCCAAGTAAAAAAATGAATCAATAATTATTTGAGCTTTTCAGTTGACAGAATGACTAATTCCAATGCAACGTTTTTGTTTATTAATTTTAGTGATATTTTTAGTGAGAAAATGTATACATTTGTTCACGGTTATGTATTTCAACACTGCATTCACCTACTCTGGAATCAACTTACTCACTGTCTGTACAGATATTATAAATTTTCTAACTAGAAATAAATGGCTATTCAAAAATTTTGAAATTTGTCATTCTGTTAACTGAAAGGCTCATATAAGCATTTAAAATAAATTAACTTAATGAATAAAATAAATATATAAATTAAATACATAAGAATTATGCATAAATCTTATTCAGTAACATTTAGTTACTAAAAATATTATATTTGGAGCAACATATATATATATATATGTGTATATATATATTATATATACATATGTATATATACATATATATATATATATGTATATATATATATATATATATATATATATATATATATAGGATCAAAAGTATTACAATAACAAATATTTTGGTGGAAGAACTGAGAGTGGTATTATTTGGATTTGGGTTAGGGGGAGGGTATGGTTGCAGTTCAAAAGTATTGGATAATTCGGAACTAGATGTTTTGCATTTCTTTTTTTTTTTTAATTTAAGAAATAGAAGTATCATTACATTCCTTGAAATATAATTAAAGACTGGGTTTGGAAATAAACATGTATTCACATTACTTTATTTTTACTATTTAGGTTCGTTTTAAAAAAAAAATGCTCTGTCGGATTTATTGGTTGTTTTTAGATAGGAACCTATACTCATCTCGAATTTCAAAAACCTGTTAGAGTTAATTTGTATTAATTAAAATTAACGCCACATATATATTATTTACAATAATAAATAATTAATATATGCATAAATTAATTGTTTCGATTTCATCCCTTCCCTTGATGCGACTCATCGCAAGCTGCATTGGAGGAAGCCGGTGGATTGTCCTAATTTTAGATGCCCTCGGTTGACCTTCATATATATAGCTACCAAGTCATTCCTGTTATTTTTGTATAAAGCTATAAGAAAATCCTGTTATTCATTTTTATTTTCATGTAATCCTGCTAGCTTCATCTTTTTTATTTATTTTTAACTGTTATATATTGTATGAAGAGGAAAGGGAGTGGCCGACGTACACTTTTTACACGTACGCCTCTTTCAATTCAACAGTACCCGGATTAGAAAAATTATTTTTTCGATAATTTTTAGCTAAGCTCTGAAAAGTATCACTTAATAATATAGTCATCGTATTTTATTACTGCCTTATAAATAATTAATCTATAATTCCATTGTAAAGTTACTTATTAAAAATAATGTTACTATGCCACCGATAATAACCAAAAATATAAACAAAATCAAGATATTTAATCTCACTGTCTTTTATTTCACATTTAAAACATGTTTACAAACATTTCAAAATTATTATTTTTTAACGTTTCGGCTCCAAGAGCAATTTTCAAAGATTCTTGTCTTAAAAATAAGACCATTAGTCCTATAATAACATTATTTTTAAAAAAAATGTCTTTAATTATATATGTATCTAGAATACTACTCAATGGTAGTAATAGTTTTATTAAATAAAAAATGTTTTTTTTAATTAAAAAATTCCAGAATTTCTCTACTTCTCCATATTGTAACAAAAACTTTATCCTTTAATTTAACAACTACTTTATAATGTAACAATTTTAAACAAGCTTTTATAAATCTAAAAATACTATTTTATTTTAATAATCTTTTTTGGGCAAATTTATTTAATTACTAAAAAAGAGACAAAAACCAGACCTAAGAAATTTAAGAAAAAATATTTTTATAGGACTAATGTTTTGTTTTGTTTTTTAAAAAGAAAAATAATCTTTGAAAATGGCTCTTGGAGCCGAATAGTGTTGCACGTTGCGAGACCAAGACTGGTAAAAAAAAAGTAATCGAATTTTTGAATAGAAATAGAGGCAAAATACTTATTAATGCTGGACAATTTTAGTTACTATTTGTAAAGAATTGGTGTAACCAATATACTTTTGCATTCAACTCTTCTAATTTTTCATTCAGACTTGGTTAGTAATAAGCCAATAAGTAACTGCAAGATCAAAGACTCGTCTCGGTCTTGCATTTGGGCAACACTAGACCGAAACGAAAAAAAATAAAAAGTTTTAAATGTAAAATAAAAGTCTGTGAGATTAGAATAGGGTTTTGATAAATAATAATACATAAGCATATATAGATTAAATATAATAATTATTAAAAAAATCTCTCGAAAGAAATATGAATTCTCAAAATAAGGTTTTTTATCATGAATTCTTAAAATCTTTCTTGTTTTGATTGTAAGTTAAATAATAGATTCCCTGAGATCCTTTTAAGTTTCTCTGAAGCATTGGGTTTCGACAAACGAGGTGGCAAAAGAAAGGGAATAACGTGGAGAAGTGACTGATTCGAATCACGTGCTATTAATTAGCATAGTAAATTGAAAAAATTTACATACTAGTTTTTTGCACTAATAGTAGCGATAAATGCTTAATAAGTATGTTATTTTTCACTTTTAAAATGGATGAATAAAAAAATCCATATGAAAATTTTTTTGTTTGGAGTTAACGAGACCAATTCTTCAGTCAGATTAACAAAGTCTCATGGCCCCCAATTTTTAATTCATTGTTCTATATGAGAGTTTAGAATCCAGTCATTTGATTTTATTTCATTTTCGTGAAGAGTTTTTAGGAATATTACAATAAAGCCAAAATTCAATTCCCCTGAACCGTAGCCATCATTCGAGTAAACAAAATATCATAAACGGTTTTAGGACTTGAGCTTGTTTTGTTATGCAAATCAATTGTTCTGTGTTTATTTTGTTTGTGCGTGCAAATATTGTGTAGAATTTAAATTCTCAATTATTCAATTTTTTGTATTGCTTTCATTTATGATAGTCAAGTTATATTTTTGTTCCAAATTTATCGTTAAAACACTTGAACAAAAATCGTTAAAAAATTAAAATATACATAAATTAGATATTGGAATGATATTACATAAATTGTATTGAATTGAATCAATTGGTTATTTTTACATTTTAATTTGAATATATTATTTATTCAAAAAAAGAAAATCTTCTATTTTCGGATTATAATTTTGATTTATTATTTTCAATAATGAACCATTGTAATCGGCAAAAACAAATTCAAAACTTAATCCCACTTCAAAATTTGAGGTTTTACGTTTCAGGAGATGTATTAAATTCAAAAATCGAATAAAAATTATTTTGTCCGTCCGCCGTCCGCGCATTTTCTGGACAGATTTTTTTTTCAAATTTGGATTTAAAGTTAGAGGTCACCCGATATACATCCTACATCAGAATTACTATCTGCCTTTTCCTTTCAAGATGGCGGTCGAAAACCTATGTTGCTATAGATTGTAGCGCCTAAACGAATGTACTGATATCAATGAAACTTGGCTAAAGTGTTCTTTTGGATGCCTATTAAATTTATCTATATAACATACTTCAACGAAAAGAAGCTGGTAAAAAAGTTACGAGGGGTGGTAAAATTACATTCCTGATAACGTATACACTTTTTTGTAGATATTATAATTATGTATAAGTTTGCGAAATTTCCTGTAAGAAAAACAAAAAAAAATCGTTAAAATTGAACAATTATGAGCAAAGATATGGTCTCTGGATATTTTTTGTATGTTCTACTGCAAAGGTTATATCCTTTGTTTTAGTTTTTAATTTTGGAAACTGTTATTGAAGTAATACATTTTTTTTTTTTTTTTTTTAGTACATTACTAATCATTACTAAAATTAATAAAAAAAAAACGTTTAGGCCAATAATGGGAATCATCTTTTATTTATTTTTCTTTGTTACTAGGATGCTAATATTACTTTAGATACATAATTGTTTGAAAACAATAAACCATTGTGAAATAATTTGCAGCGTTTTTGTTTTATTAAATATAATAAAACACACACCTGATGGTGTTTATCATTATATAGCTGAAATGATTATGCTTTTTCTACGCTTTGGCAAGTCCGCAACAGTTTCAGTAATAGCTACCCTGTGACTAAGTTTCACACGGCTTCATGCTATTTTTGTTTTACCTGAATCATGATGTCCGCTCAGTTTGTCCTGTCACTCTTTTCATTTTATGTTGACATTAAGTAGGAAGTT